TGCCTGCAATTTGATATGCGTGGTTTGGAAACCGTCGTGTAGAAACTGTAGTCTCAAGCCTGCATTCTGTTCAGAACAGGGACAAGACGTTGCTGGGTTCGCGCAAACATGGCAGCCAGTGCGCCCGACGTGCTCAGAACTTTTCAAGAAGTCCAATCGGGGAGCAGGAGTTCTTGCCAGTATGTGGCTGAATTTCAGCAAGCAGTTTTGTGTGCGATGCAAAATAGTCGCTGCCAACGAAGCTTGCAGGGCTTTCTGGTCTGCAACGGAATGTTTTCTTGTGACATCAAGTGCTGTTTCTGAACACAGACAGAAAGCATGTCATACAAATGTTGATCTATTTGATTTGACCATGTGATTCCTTTAGCAGTAGCGCTGAATGCAGCTGTTTGCCAGCTTGTCTCACAGAGAGAGAGAGAGAGAGATAGATAGATAGATAGATAGATAGATAGATAGATAGATAGATAAATAAGTAGAGAGAGAGAGAGAGACACTTTTGGGTTGTCATACCAGTGTGATGACTTGTGTGGCCAATCATAGCTCTCAGATTTGTTGCTTCTGAACCGCTGTTGTGGCTCAAGTCTTGAAGGAAGTTTGTAAAGGCTGCCGCTGGAGGGTGCGGCCGCTAGCTTCAAAGGCCCTTGGCCTGCAAACTCCTGGGGAACGCAGGACATTCGGGGAAATGTATTTTTCCTTTTTGCTCAATGTTTTTGTGATTGGTTTAAGTTGAATTAATTAATCAACTTTTTGCTTTGAGGATGCGGCTGACATTGGAGTTGCTGCAGCAGGCACCGCAATCCTTGAATCCAGCCAAGCACAGGCAGCTACTTCTGCGCGGGTTCAAGCTGCTTGGACAAGGTGCATGCCAGAGGCGCATGATCATAGAATGAGACTACATCATGCCAGGTTACCACTATGCAGAACTTGAACATTTTTTTGACAGAAATGATTTTGTTGTAGATTTTGGTCCATTCTGAAGTCTTGGAAGACTTGCTAATTCGAAGAATGCAATGGTCTAGGCCAGTAGTCAGTAGTTCATGCAAACCAAGGATTCCAACCATCGAATCTTGGCAGTTCGTTGGGTGCTGTGGATTGAAATCAGGATTATTGCGCAAATTTAAGCACACTATTAAGAGGCATGAGAGGGATTAGGAGACCTACACACTCCGACATGCATGGGATTCAGTTCACTTTTAGGGTATATTCAGAAGCAGTGAACGTGGGGTTTGATCCTGTGCGGAAACAACCACTCAAATTGCCAAGTGCTCTCTCACCCATCAATAAGGAAAACTTGGGTGGCACAGACGATGCTTATGAGTGCCTTCGCGAGGCATTGTTGATTCCCACTGCATCATGCAAGGTTCGACATTAAGTACAAGGCACAGGAAACAAATGGATCAACAACAGGTTTTAGGCGTGGATTCTTGTGTCATGAGGAACCCACGAAAGACTGTGATAGTGTGATTTTGAATTTCTATCAGTGTTGCATGAACAATTGCCTGAAACTACTTAGGTGCTTGGACTTGTCAGACAATGACCTCATCAAGCTTGGAAACTTCCCTCCACTGAAGAGGCTGGCTTTGATTCGTGTGCATCCCTCCTGCTATGGACTCTTTTTCACATTGTCTTCTGGCCCGCTGCATCTTGCAGGCTGCGAGTGCTCATGCTAGCAAATAACCGGCCGTGTGCTCAACAATTGTTCCAGCAAATCCCGAGGGATGGAAAAAACTGATAGTGCTTCTCGAAACACTTTACAGTATTCCGTTCACTCAGGATCAGCCGCATTGCGCCGGACTGCAGCTGGCACGAATAGTCAGAGAGTGCGTGTCATCGACAGAGATTCTAGTTATTTCTTACTGGGCCACTCCGGAGTTTTAGCTTCGAGTCCCACAGCTCATATTCAACACTATTTGTCAATCTAAGGCTTTGATCCGATCCCACATATTGTCAGCCTGGTGCTCACAGGCAAAGATCTTGTGTTTTCGTTTCAAAAGATGTCGAGCAGACTGTACAGGTTCCTCTTGGTATGAGTTTGTGAACTGATAGGCAACAAGCTGGAGAAGTCCCTCGGGAAAATGAGAGCACTTGATTGGATGTTTCTGTTGAGTATCCCAGTTTTTTAGACCTTTGTGTACTGCTACACCGTCTTGAGTGTTTGGTTCGATTATTTTAATTACTTTGCTTTTCTGAGGCTTGTCGATTTGGAACCTATCACCAAGCTTGTGAATCTCGAGCGCTTAAGCCTCATGGACAATCCTGTGACCAAGGTGGAGGGTTCCAAGACTCATTGCACACCCTAATAGGAATGGCCTCCACCCCAAGAGCGATGGCCTCCAAGCTAATAGCAATGATCCCCTCCAGACTTCTGGTATTTGGAGGGCCAATTGAGGTAGTAAGAGTCGCTCTACAAGACGGTTCTAATGTTTTCTAGCCTGGTCAAAGAGACATAGAGACAATTGAAACAACACACTGAAGGTTTTTGGATCGGAAGAACTCGCTACCCATCTTGAGTACCTTGCGTAGCTTGGACAGCTTGATGAAGCAGGTGAAGCACTTCCGACCCTACATGATCCACAAAAGCTCCAAGGCTTTGAGGACACGCAAGCTGGTGCAAGAGTTTGACCGTACTTTTTATAAGGGTGGGTGGGAGGCAAGTAGCAACAAGGAAGACTAGCAACTAGTAGCATGGAAGCAGTAGAGGGAGGGTTCTTCACAGAAGCTTGCAGAAGAGCCTTTGCTATATGAAACGGTTTCATTCCTTTTTTCGGCTAAGAGTTTGAGAAGCTTTCAGGATGAACTGAGACCGATTTTGAGACCCTGCAGGATCCTAGACTTCAACCGAATTAAAGATAAAGAGAGAAAGGTGCGGATCGATTCCTTTATGCTTCTTTTCCATGAGCTTGAGGGAAACCTGCTTCTTTTGTTGCCAGCTCCAGTTTTATCATTGACTGGGTATAGCTCCACATGCAGCCAAGCATATGTGTCTATGCAGTTTGTGACTGATCCTAGCCTGAGTGGATAAACTATCACCACAGGCAGCTTCACTCTTGTTTGCCGGAGATCGCGGCAAGAAGCTGCTTGAGGAGAGTCGAGAGTCTGTGGTTGACCTTCATGCTGCACCATCTGAAGCATAGCTTTATGAAATTCATGAATCATGGTTTCTTAATGTCTCTTAGCATCTCTTGAGGAGATTGCACCACCGCGGGTTGTGGGCAAGGAGCAGACGGAGAAGGTACAGCAGCAGGGATTGCTTCACAGGGGTGAATATGTTTCTTTTTTTGAAAGCGTTTTCTGTTTGGAGCTTGCAGTCCTGCCAGGTTTCAGAGGTTGCAAAGACTGGGCCTTCGACGGAGGTAGTTGCATCTTGGCATCGATTTTGATCCGCAGTTCTCTCAGCCTCTCAGCTATCCGATGTTTGCAGTGAGACGTTTGCCAAGGAGAGAATCAAGAAGGCCATTGCAGAGGCAGAGACCATTGAAGAGGTCACCCGATTGGAGAAGGCAGCTCGACAAAGTCTCGACAGAGTCTTGGGTTTGGCAGTTTGCTGACATCAACGGTACAAAGAACCCATTGAAAACAAGTTCATTCTTGAAAATGCTGCTAGGCACTGAAGAGTGGTGTTCTTCCTGATGATCTGAAAGAGCCAGGCCAAGCAGGAGAGACATATTGCCATGCGATTGTAAAGCGGCAAGTCCATGAATAGAGGAGTTGATATTTGCTGGAGTTTCCCTCCAGTCTTGAGGAAGGTGCAGTCACACAGCAAGGTTGAAGAGGCTTTGCAGATTGCTGAGCTGCAAGGACCGGCAGAGGGACCTGAACAAGGCCACAGTTCGGATGAGGGTCTTGGAACACTTGAGGGAATCGGACATGATCGGACACGAGGGCTGAGTGTCGTTCCACCAATGGAGGGAACTCCAAAAAGGTATCGGAACTCCTGCAAGGTCCTGGGCCCATGGAGGTTTCGGAAGGAGCAGCGCAAGCAGAGGGTGACACGCCAGCTGCAGCTTCTTAGGTGGCCAGCTTCAAAGTGGAACAGGTTTAGTGTCCAAAAACGAAACCATTACACCACAACTTTCATTTCTCAGTGCTACAAAGCCACAACTTTCTGACTTACTTTCTTACTTATTTTGCACAGTGGTGGAACAGACCAAGGTCAAAGATAAGTGCAATGCAGTGGAAAGAGCTGAAAAGGGTGCACTGTGTTTGGTTCGCTCGGACCCGTCGAAAAGAGATGCCTATCGTTTTTTTGTCGTTATTTTGTTCAACACCCGGAGTCCAGAGGCCTCAAGCATGTCAAACTCTGCTCCAAATACCACCATGCCACCAAGGACCCTTACCCAGTGATAAGAATCAGCCTAACCCCCCAACGCCATGAGCTGTTCCGGTTGGATAGTTAAGAGCTTTGAGGTTGCCAAAGCCCTGTTGCTTCAATGAGGTTTCAATTGAGGTTCTGCCGATGCTTCGCCCTACCTACCGTGAATTTGCAGACACTCTCTGTACATTTGCGCAGCCATTCAGTTCAAGTTCTTTGGAAAGTCTTTTGACCACTGCAGCGTTGCAGACGCAAAGATGCCACTCAATGGAGTGGAAGCTGCCGATACAGCTTCATTGCAGCAAGTAGTTGGCCGCATATTCATCATATATTCCCTAACCCTGGAAGGAAAGCTGGCTTGGATATCTATTGCACTTCATTTTGAGAGGATCTGGAGTGTTCTTTCTGGATCAGCACTGGACAGCCAAACGGAGTCCAGCCTGTCTGGAAGGATGTCTGTTGCGGGAATTTCTGTTGCCTGCACTTCAAAGGGTCCAAGTACCTTAATTTGGTTATTTGAGCGTAAGGTTTTTCAATGCCTGGTGAGGCTTTCATTCTCATTTGTGCAGCCTTGGTTCAGCTGATGACCCCTGGACTGGCATTCTTTTATGGCGGGCTGGTGAAGGATACGAGCGTTGGCCGACTGCGCTTAATGGAATGCACACTTCGTTTTTTGTTTAAAAGGCGGTTTCACAATCTAGAGTGCAGCATTGCAATGGTATTTTCTACTGTAACTTTTTTGCTCTGCTATAAAGTCTGCTAAGCCAGACATGAGAAGATATGGGAAGAGAGAACAACGACAGCAAAATGAAACAAGAGAGAATGGGTTGGCTGAGTTGGCTAGCTGTGTGGACGAGCACAAGAAAAGGTACTGACAATGATGATGCAGTGCTTTATTTCTATGGGCGTGACAAGCATATTTTGGTGCCGCCCTGAGCTTTTCCATCAGCGCTCGTCGACTGATGTGGGACATTTCCCGGCTCATTCTCGTTTGTCCCAGGTTCTTATTTGGCTTCTCGCTCTGCTTTGGTGAGAGCGTGGGCTTTTTCGGAAACCCTTGGACCTACATGGCCTTGCGGGGCCTGAGCGTTCACGAGGCCACGACACATGTGATCTGCTATACATGTGATTTGCTGTACATGGCAGGCCCTTCCTGGCCAGTCAATTCCTGGTCTCCTTTTCATGGCATACCAAGGTGTCTTTCCTTAAGTAATGCTTCAGTTGTTTCAGTGAGTGTTTTCTTTTTTGCTTTTGTCTGGGGGAAGATGCAGAGCAAAACGGATTTAAAAACAGCATGATGAAGAGGCTTGCTTTCCACTGTCGAATGCTTGGAATCACCCTCGTGAGGTATGTTTGCAGTAATAACTCCTGCCTTGATGACCGGTGCATTTGCAGATCGCTTTCGCTTTAAACCATACCTGTTTTTTATTGTGCTTTGGCTTTTGCTTCTTGGTTTGCATGGCTTCGAGCTTCTACCTCGCTGACAACATTTTGCTTTCGGGTTTCTGAGTGACCTTGGACATCTTCCTAGACTTGAATTTGCACGAGCGATTTGCACCATTCGCCAGCAATTGCCAGATCTTATTTGGATTCCTGCCTTTGCTTGCCCGAAAGGGCACAAGGCATGGTATATTTCCAAATAATATTTCTGAGATGCATATCTGCATATTTGCTTTTTGCATATTTGGATGTTTGCCTTTCCATATTTCTTCTCACTGAGGTTTGTCTACTGTCCTTGGTGCCATTGGCTATGGGGTGGTGGCTTCCTTTATCAGTGGGGATGCAGAGACTTCGCTGGAGGCGCTGCGGGCGAGGACGGGTGTTGTTTCTCACGTGGGATCCCCGTTGCCTGCGGTGAAGCTTTGGACATGTCTAGTGTAGGTATAGAATGTACACAAAGGCATTTCAAGGCACAATGTACACCAAGTTTTATTTGGGAATCTGTTGAAGAACAGCTGAACGACTTATTTGATGGACTCTTATGACTCCAGGCTCCAGATTCCCTTGGCTCACATCAATCAACCACCTCCTGGCATTTGTCAAGTGCTTCTTTCCAGAAAGTGTGGGCACGCTTTGGATTCTGAGGCATTGTAGTGCATGTCACTGCTGGCTTCGGCGCTTTGGCCAGTCTCTTTGTGGTAGGCTGGGTGCTGGAGAGTGTTCCATGGCTAACACTGAAAGTCTCCATGAATCTTGTGAATCTATGTGAACTCTGAAGAGTCTGAATATTCTTTGTCGAGGCAAACGAGAGATTCCTGAACATGAAAAAGATCATCATAGAAAGCCGCACAATGTGCCGTTTGTTGCTTTGGGCACTGCGCTGCTGTGGTTTGGCTGGTTTGGCTTCAATCCAGGAGACCTGGCAAGTTCCATGCCTGTTTCGGCATGCTCCCTCTAGCTTCCTCCAAATTGATGTCTAGTCTACCCAGAATCTGCCACGTTCTTTTGCCAGCTTGTATCGATTTATGTACATATATATTCTTTTCAAACGTTCACATCTCAAGAATTGTCGTGTTTGATTCTGTGGTTATTATGCTGATGCAACTATTGATTGTTGTGCGTCGTTTGGGGAGACACCGCTGCTGAAGATGTAAACAATGGAAGTCAGAATTGCTTGGTACTTGATATCCGGTATACGTTGACAAACTGGGCTTGCGACTCGACCAGGCGCCTGTGGGTGACCAAAAATATGTGGACAGCGGTTTTGGTACAAACTCACAGCTTTTGAGGTTAGGGTAAATCTAAGCTTAAGGCAGGGCTGAAATTGGGAGATGTTCAGCAATTTAAAAAGGAGCCCTTTTTTTTCGATCCTAGTCACTCTCTCACGCCCCAAAAGGTTGGCGGTTAGAAGAGTTCTGTAGAAACCTCATTTGAGCGGTACGGAATCATCAGTTCCTCTGACCTCGACCATGTGGTTGTTTGGCTGATTAGGGGTGCCGAACGACAGACCAGATGCACTGCATGGTTTGCTGCCAAAGTCCCTTGAGCCTGCTCCAACTGTGTTGAGGATCTGCGCTGGCTTGCAACGGAGTGGCGGTTGCAGCTGCTGTGAACTCTGAGATTGCAGCATCAGTGTCGACCTTTTTGTGGCTCCTGCACCTTGACAGAGACTCGATATGTTTGGGGGGTAGGCTGAGAGGACGGCCATAAGGCTACGAACCAAATAAACAAGTTAAAGTTAAGTAAGAGGAAGACCCATCAGCTCCTAGATTAAATATGATTACTGTAAATAAGAAAACAAAGGAGAAACAAAAGGTCTCTTCAACTTCAAGGGGCCCTACCTTTTTCAAAAACTCTCACGCCGACACGAGAAGAGATTCGGCAACCTGGGCCATGGTTGTTCCCCGCGGGGAACCTGAGTTTCCGAAAGATTAAGCTTGTCCAAGTAAAGAAAGCCGCTGATCACCCAATGGCATCAAAAGGGATGATCCACGAATTTGGGGTGTCCTTCACCCTCTGCAAAAGGCAAACCAATATTTTCAAGTCTATACCGAATTCGACAGCCACACTTCGGCGCCCATGAAGGCACTTTTCGGAAAGGACTTACCATTTTGTTTGTTTTTGCAATTTACATGAAGAGGAGCAACAGCAATCGGCTTCAGCTTGCAGACTGCAAAACCATTACACAAATTTTTGCCGTAGGCATTCGGAGGAGCCACAATGCCCTCCGGTAAGTCAAATCAAAAGTTGTGAAAACAAACTTCGACAGCAAACTCAAAAACAGAGCAAGACTTGCCCTCACCAAGACACCATTTCAGGGAGCAGCAAAAGGACAGAAAGGTGCGGACATTTTCAAGGGGCCCTATTAACGTGGTCCTTTTCCTTCATTTTTTCTTTTTCATTTTACTTTCTTTTTTAGTGCTGTGAGAGAGCGATGGTGCAGGATTGAGTGGATCCGGCTTGGACGGCCCACTTTGATTGGCCTTTGTGTCGGTGCTATCGCGGGCCTTGCGACGATTACACCTGCTGCTGGCTTCGTTGAACCAAGTGGTGCGTGGCTATGACGAGCAACATCAGTTGAGATTTCTTGACGAAGCAAGAAGGGTCCTAATAGTGAAGTAGGGCAGCGGCCAGCAGGCAGAATAGGCACAATCAGAAGCATCAGTTTGCTCTTGCAACGTCAAAGGTTTGTTTATGGCCTGGTGGCAACCTTCTTTTGCTTTGCATCATGCGAACTGATCAAGCAAATGGGCTTGGATGATGCATTGGATGTGTGGGGCGTGCATGGCATGGGTGGCTGGATTGGATCAATCCTGTTCCTCTGCTGGGAGAGCTATGCTTTGTTTCTTTGTGCGGTGAAAACCCGTGCGGTCATCAAAGTGTGTTGCCAAAAATTGACGAGTTGGTGAAGTCCTCTGCAGTCGAACTTTCCTGGAAAAATTGGGAGAAGAGCTTCTTCAGTGACTGAACGCTCAAACTTGGTTCATTTGTGGAGGCTTGGAGCATTTGCTGACAGCTCGGAATGCATGGGCGCATCACCCCCCTCAATCTGCCTCAATCCAGGAGTGCCACCATACCGGTCCTGGGAGCAGTTGGGCAGCTTGAACTGGACATGTTCAGTGTTTCAGTCTTTTATTGTTTTTAGTTTTCTTGGATGTTCTTTGAAGGTTAAACTTAAACCAAGTGGCAATCCAATGAATCTCCAACAGAGGCAAGCAAACTGTAGCTACGCTTTTCTGCAGCGTATATTCTTTGGCTGTTTCCTGGGTCCTGCTCAAGGCGCGGTGCTCAGAGTCTGGTCAGAGCCGATAGATTGCAATGCATCCTCTTGAGTTCAAAAGGCCTGCCGTGAGGCTGAACATGTCTTGAGAGCCCAGGCCATTGGCATGTTACTAGGGAAGAAGCTACTAGGAACAAGTGCATCGCTTCTAGTAACAAGTGCCTTACTAGTAGTAACAAGAAGCTATTAGAAACAAATAGAATACATATTCTAATAACTTCTTGTTACTACTAGTAAGGCACTTGTTACTAGAAGCGATGCACTTGTTCCCAATAGTTATGTGTTTTGAGAGCCCAGGCCATTAGCATGTGTATGCCTTTGAAGCCACAAAGTCTTCATGTTGATCTTCATGAACATCACGAGGTGGCCTACCACAGCCCTGCCCTTGCCTTAATTGCATGGCTGATGGCCCTATTGGCTCTCAATCCCTCAAAGCTGCTGAACATTCCTGGCCGTAAAGTATGAGACAAAGTTGACCGAAGTGGTCGTTTGTGTGTCCATTCAAAGTATGGCTGGTGTGGACGTTCGTTCTGATTTGTATCTGCATTTCCCTTTGTTGAGGTCATTCGTAGCCCAGTTCTGAAGATTCGGCTGTTGCCGTAGGGTAGGATTCTTGGTATGACCCAGAGAAGTTCACCGGTATTTTATTGTTTCTCTTGAGTTCAAGGCCTCTGTGCCTGCTTCACAGGGTGGTGCACCATCTTGTCTTGAAGCCTTCCCACTTTTCTCCAGTTTATTCTGCTTTGCGAGGTAAGGTAAGGTGCGAGTCATTTTGTTTCTTTTTTATCCTTTGGAGACAAACTATCAGTCCGCTTCTTGGAGTCTCCCTTCAACACTTCTCTTTGAAGCCGAGATGTGGCTGTTGAAACAAGGTGCCTTTTTCACTTCAAGCAACAATCTTCCTACAAGTCCAAGGCCCATCGTCGAGTCCGTGTACAGTCAAGGGTTTGTCAGGTTCAGCTTTGATCTGACATGGACATTGTCGAAGCTCTAGCTGCTAGTTCAACTTCATGCACCCCCAACTAGCTCAAAAGACAAATCTGACAGCCGATAGTTGCGGGGATTTAGCTTGGAAGACTTTTGGCCAGTGTTTGTCGTTTTGCTGCTAGCAGCTGATCATCTTGAATGTTCGCTCAAGCTAAGATTCGGAGCTACATGCCGGGGACCGAGCAGAAGCTTCAGCATCAAGGCAGCCAAGAGAGCCAATCCTCCTCGTCTTCTGAGAGTTGGTTTTGATTGTGATTGATTAAGCAGTGCCAAATTTGCCCTGCGTGAAGGAGAAAAGACCGTTATTGACAACCCTCGGGTGCATTGTTCTTGAATGTGCTTCACACCACTTTCATGGTAGTGGCACTTAGGGTGCAAGAGACTCCATGACTTGAGTCGTTTAGCCGTTTAGCCCCAACTCAACTTGCACGCCTATGCACGGTGCTCGATAAGACGACGCAGACTTGCAGTTGTCAGAGTGTTTCTTGCTTGCTTTTTTTACTGCATAACTGGATCAGCAGAAGTGGAACATCCTCCTTTGGCTGCTACTTATTCCATGCCTGCCATAGCTCTACGTTAGTCAACAGGGTGAGCCGGTTGCCAAAAGCATGGCCCTTGGCAGCGAGAGCACTGCTGATGAAGCAGTTGAGCCTGACGAGGACCGAGATCGGGTGGCCACTGTCGGTTGTCAAAATCCAATAAAGGTGCCATAGTTTCTCCATTATAAAGAAAGAAAAAGACAAGAATAAGCAAAAGTACTGGCGAGCCAGCAGGAAGTTGCAGACTTTCCAGAAAGTGGGGTTCTTTGTGTGCATGCTGCTTGGTGTCGGGAAGTGAGGTTGGGTTTTGGAAAATGCTTTCTGTGAAAACCGAAGCCAGCGAGGCTTATGGACGCTTGGAAGAGGTTCATGTTCAGCCTTTGACACTGAAGAAGCTGCGGCAAGCCGCCAAAGATGCCTTCGATTTGCCAGATACGGAGATCTTGTTGAAAGGCGCTGCACCTGATTGTCCGCATCAAGAGCACATTTTTTATCAAGATCCAAAGCACATAAATATGAGAAGGAAGGAAGGAAGGAAGGAAGGAAGGAAGGAAGGAAGGAAGGAAGGAAGGAAGGGAAGGGAAGGGAAGGGAAGGGAAGGGAGGGGAGGGAAGGGAGGGGAGGGGAGGGGAGGGGACGGGACGGGACGGGACGGGACGGGAAGGGAAGGGAAGGGAACGGAAAGGAAAGGAAAGGAAAGGAAAGGAAGGAAGCAAGGACGCAAGGAAGCAAGAAAGCAAGCGAATGGGGCAGGAAGCAAGCAAGCAAGCAAGCAAGCCAGCAAGGAAGCCAGGAGGGAAGGAAGCAAGGAAGCCAGGAGGCAAGGAAGCAAGGAAGCAAGTAAGCAAGGAAGGAAGCAAGCAAGCAAGCAAGAAAGGAAGGAAGGAAGGCGCTTGTTCTTTTGCTGCTATTTTGCCTTCGCTGCTTGTTTGCGTATTTTTGCCAGTACAACTGCCAGGTACAATTGCTAGTCCATCGGTGCATACTTTTTGTGAGCCACCCACGGGCAACATTTAGATGAGGAAGCTGCCATTCCAACGGCGCATACCTTTTGAGAGCCACCCAGGTGTAAAATTTAGAGGAGGAGCATACTTCTGGTGAGCCAAACGGTGCATACCGAGGATAACATTTAGAAGAGCAAGCTCCCACTCCAATCTAACCATGCACCTGGCAGCCTTGGCACCCGCCCAAATTCCACTCCAACGTAACCATGCACCTGGCAGCCTTGGCACCCGCCCAAAAATTTGAGCAGGATGGTAAGCCACCGAATGGTCAAAAAGAGAGAAGGCAGGAGACATTCCAATGCGAGGCCAAAAAATTGAAAAGCCAGGTGCCACTCCAATCCCAATGCACACTATGCCTTCTGTGATCCACCTGGAGCTACTGGATTTGTTTGATCTTCATACTGAGTTCGTTATTGATGCCCCGCGAATAGCATTTTTGTTGAGTCCTTTATTGTTATTTTTGATCCCCTGGCCTTCACCTGCATCATTCATTTCCGCAGCTGTTTCTGGTGAATGTATCCAAAGAAGAGCTTTGTTCACAGGACCTGATGGCTCCTGTGCAGAATCTGACGAGATGCTGAAAAATCTGGCATCAGTCATGCTGGCTCGTTAAGATCTTGAAACGAACTTCATTAAGCCAACACCTGACAACATTGTAGATGTCTTTAAATATATATATATATATATATTGGACATGTGCTTTTTGTGTGACAACGTGTGGACATGATCAGGTGTACTTGGAGCTGCCGGATGGTGGACTTCATGACCTCGAGCAGCGGATTGATCAGCTGCAACACTTGCAGGTGTGTGTGTGTGTGTGTCTTATTGTATTCGTATTTGTTTGGGTGGGGGAGGCCGCGCAGTCCATGAGGTAAGAAGAGGTACGCTTAAGTTTAGTAAGTGACAGCAACAAAAGGGTTCTTCAATGCAGGGACGCTGAAGGGCAAAGGGTTCTTCAAGGAAGGTCCGCCGCCTGGGGGCGGGGGGAGCTTCCTTGAATAAGCTGTCGCGTGATTGATTGGTTCCTAGATTCTTTGGGAACTACCCTGGAACTTGAGACCTTTCAACATCTTTTGGTACTCTTCTGAGAGAACGGCCGAAGTGAAGAGCTAATGAGTTGGACAAAAATGCCTCTTGGAGAATAGCCGGCACTGCGTGCAGATGTTTTGATTCTTGGGGCACTACGGGCACCGCCGACACAACACGTGACCCACACAGCAGCAATACCTGAGGTGAGCCACGTTTGCGACCGCCTTGCAACCTTGGCTGACGAACAGGTGAGCCACCAGGCCTCCATTGCAGGCGCTATTTGGAAAGACCGAACGACCAGTCCTTTGTTTTTTTTGGGCGAACCCGTGAAAAAAACCGGGCAAAAAGGGGCAAGTAGTAGAGAGAAAAGCAAGTACGGTACTGTACCATGGACCACGCTTGTTGAGTCTTGTCATTGGATGTGATTGATCATGTTTGATCAATTTGACTACGTGGCAAGATATTAGTAGTAACAAGAAGCTATTAGGAACAAGTGCCTCGCTAGTAGTAACAAGTGCCTTACTAGTAGTAACAAGAAGCTACTAGGAACAAGTGCATCGCTCTTTATTGCAGGCCTAACGGATGCGTTGATCGAAGAGCAGGCCTTCCGTCAAGAATTTGAAGAAGCCGTGCGGGCGGAGATCAAGCACGTGGCTTGGCAGAACTCTTCAGCGCATTTCAAACCACTCCCCGTGATCTTGACTCCCTTTGGGTTTTGTGTTGAGTCCTTTGTAGCAGATGGCTTCAGAAGGATTTTCAGCAAGTTAGCTTTCTGAACATGAGGTTGGAGGCCACTGCTATTAGGTGTTATGCTATTCGTTTGCTATTCGTCCACCCTGTATGCTATTCGTGCCTAGAGAGTCGGGGGCATGGGAGATTCTTCAAGGAAGCTCCTCCCATGGAGGCGCTTCCTGGAAGAATCTCCCTTCTTGAAGCAGAGCGAGCGGCTGGTGCGATGGCGAATGGTCTTCTATCTCCAGCTTGTTTGTCGGCCCCCCGCCATGTCCCCTTGGGCCGAAAATAGACCCATACGAACAAATCCCGCCTAGGAGTGTGATGGAGTGTCACTTCACCTGAAGAAACGCATGGACCAGCTGGAGATCAAGCTGCGAGAGCACGTAGATGATGCGCTGCATTCCTTAGAATCGAGAGTGTCTCAGGACTTTCAGGACTCCCGCTGTCGCAGGTTGCGCACGATTCGACCCGCTCGGGACGCTCTTGGGAAGCCAGCGCTCCCGGCTTCGGTGAAGCAGAAAGTTGCAAAACATTTGGCTTTGAAGCACAAAAGCACAAAGGAGTAGGAACTATGCTATAGAAACAGAGCTAGAATGAAAAGGTCTTGGGAGTTGCTGCTATGCTTTGTAATTGTAGGTGCTAAAGGGTAGTCATGGCCGTGAAATGTACTGGCCAGCAATGTGCTTTTGTCCATGACAGACCAGTGACTGGTAGCTGCCACATCATGGCTGCGTAGCGAGAAAAACATGCTGATGGTGTTTATCATCCTTGTGCACACGTCAGTTGTTAGTGGCCAGGACCTCTGGCAATGGACAAGTGATGAGTGCCGTCAGTCTACTGATCGGCTGAAAGATTTGGAACAGCGAGCCACTGGACAGCACTAAATACATGCCATGTGGGAATGGAAGCCAACCCAGCCCAAACCCGGGGGAACAAATGTCTGAAATCTTGGTTAATCTTGATCAGACAAAGGCGGGTGCCCACGTTCTCGCTTTTTGCTTTTAGTATGAGCTTCCTTTCTACTTTTTGTCTTTCGGTATGCTTTGAGGTGATTTGCTCCAGCGCAACTGCCCGAGAAGCCTCTGCGAGCATTACTGCATTGCGGTCTTCGCGCCTGGAGGCAGGTGTTGGATCCTCGGACACATCGGAAGCACGGGTGGCTTTTTGGGTCCACTTGGGCGTCATCGTTTTGTGCCCTACCAAGCAAGTGCTTGTGAGCTGATTTTGCCAGGTTGGCAGCACAGTGAAAGAATGCCTGGAGGGGCAAGCAAAACTTTCCGCACGCATTGACGACCTTTGCGACGGTTTGGTGAAAGAGGCGCCGGCCGATTCCTGATTTTGTGTTGCAGAACATTCTTTGCGTTTTTTTTCCACTCTTCTTGGCATAGGTGCAGGACCGAATGTCAGAGGCTCGGCGATTGCAGTCTGAGCTTTCAAAGCGAGATGAGCGGACTGAGTCCCTGAGAGACTTCGGGCAGGACGGACACCAACTGCCGATTTTGCGTAGAGTTGGGTTCATTGAATGGCTGCTAAAGCTCAAAGGTGTTTCTTTCTTGCAGGAGCTTCATGCAGCAATGACCACCTTGCGCTCGCAGCCAGAGGCCGAGGCAAGACGCGCTGGGTCTTGCTGTCTTGGTGAACTTGTGTACATATAATACATATAGATACATGTAGTTTCAGGATATATATATATATACACACATACTCTGCAAATACACTCCCACAATATTTCACCCCTTGCAAAATGTCTCCAGATTTTTAAGGGATTGCAACGGAGGAGCCCACGTTGGTGCATGTTGCCCCGACAGGTTCGATCCCAACAAGACAAATCAATACAATCCCAATAAATCCCGTGGCTCATTGCCACCCATGCATGCATAGGTTCTATACCGTACATCCAAAACATACAACAATTGCACAGTGATCAAACTATTGACGAATAGAGGTCAGTCGATGCAACTCCCTCGTTTGTCTCTTTCCGCATCACAGAAGTCTCAAACGTCAACGCAGTGACGCTTGAACAAACCTCCAAGGATAGGGATTGTAAAGGATGCACTGTCAGCCAAGACTGCTACAGCTACCTTGTCATTGTCTGTGTCGCTGGATATGAAGGCCACTCGAAGCCTATCAGTTGGCGAAAGAGGAAAGGGTCCGCACAGCATTGAGACAAACAAGAGCGCAGTGCAGCGCTCTTTGGAGGGTGGTGCACGACATGGGCAGCTCCATTCGTGCATGTGGCTGGCGCGTGGGTTTCATTGGCAATTGCTGGCTTCGGGTAACAGAACCCCTAAGCCGAGCACAAATGTTAACAATGTTACGGTTTCAGCTTGACGCGTAGAAATCGAGCGCTGAACATTTGGGAGTTTGGGCTGGGACGGGAAATGTGGTGGGGAAGCTGCATCGAAACTGTCAACGGGGGTGCCTCGCTGTGGGCTGGAACTGGAACATTCAAAAACAACAGCAGTCGACATCCCCATGAACGCAAATGAAAGGGGCCTCACTGGCCGCTGCTATGCTTGTCCATGCTTGGAACCTGTGACGTGCGTGTGCTGGAGCATCTTGATGCCACTTCACCTCCGTGTTAAACATGAAGACAGCTTTACATGGGGCCCAGTCAAGTAAATACTAGTTACTGACCTCGCCCGGAAAACTCAGCAGGGTGGCGTGGCCCTACGCACTTGCGAAAAGCTGCAGCGGCTTGCAGACGAGTCTATGCAGCTGGAACGTCGTTTCAGTGTCTTGACCTGGAACATTCTATGTATATATTTGACAGAAATCTGATGCGCGCTTGACAGCGATAAGTTGTGAACTGTCTTTGTGTTGTTTTTGGTGGGTGTCCACTCGTTGTGGCAGCCTAGGTGATTTGTCCCAACAAGTTGAAGAAGGGCGCGATAGCCAGCGCAAATTACAGCAGGGTCTGGAAGATGAGAGCGCCGCAAGGCACGGTGTTTCTCCCCACGCCATTGAATCGTCCGATTTGATGAGGAAAGATACTAGTGCTATCTTGGTTGGTCAGATCATGGCGATAATCAAGTGTGATGTAGAGGACCAGCAAGCCGTGCAAAACTAGCTTGTGTGCTTTTGTAGTTGTCATTCTGTTGCACCATGAGGTAGGCACCTAATTTTGTATATTAGTGATGTGTCTGACTATATTCCCATAGGCGTTGCAACTTCTTGGAACATGTTCAGTTTTGCAAATCGATAGATTTCGTGGAGACGTGCGACAGGAAGAGCGTTGCCGAATTACTCTGTTTTTAACAGTTGGTAAACCAGGGTTTCTGTGATGTGGAGGCCATCGCTTCTAGGTTGGAGGCCACCGCTAGTAGGTTGCAGGCCATCGCTAGTAGTTTGGAGGCCATTGCTAGTAGGTTGCTTACCTTCCTCTGTCCAGTCTGGCTCGCTTTACTCCTGCCAAGCAGGATTGCAGCGGAGGCAAGGCTTGGAGAAGAATTATCGGTACAGTCCCAAAGTCTCCTAGCTTTGGAACATGTGCTACAAGATTTGGCCCAACAGCGGCGGGTATCGGGCTTAGCCTTGGATGTGGCAATCTGTTTCAAATCCTTTGCATTTGCCCTTTGCAGACTCTTGTGCTATCTAACGACGTTTAGAGGGGTTCATAGACATTCATGATGTATTTGATTAATGGTCACTTCTTGTTGTAAGGACACCTTGGACGGTTTGGGGAGGCTGCAGAGCAGTTCTCATCGCGAGGCCACATGGGGTGATGATATCTGAGAGAGGTTAGACTATGGTGTACTGAGACAAGGTTTCTCGGTTCCATCGGTTTAACATACCCCTTAACTTATCCCAATATGAAAGGAGAAGCAGACCTCACCATTTGATATCTATAAAAGCTCAAGCAGGACCCCTACCCCTGTATGAACAGGGGGATGGTTTAACCGATTTCGTTCTTTTTCATTTGTGAAGTTCACAGGATGAGCAGCCGGAGTCCTCCAAGACGCTGGTCATGCCGTCGAAAGGTTGAAACGGAGAGCTTGGTGTTGTTTTTTACATCATAAAGCCTTCCTGACGACTTACTCTTGATCTTTTCTGCAATCTTTGGGCTTGCAACCCCATGGGCCTGTGGGCAACTCTCATCCCATTTCTTGGGTGGAATGCTGGACATACCTTTGATGTTGAACATGAGCTAAACAACTGTGGCCACAGTTCTTGATGGACAAAATGTTAACATTTACTTTTGGAAGCACACACATCATTTGAAGCAGCCTCTGGCCAAGGACAGAAAGCCTGGGGTCAGATGCAGCACAGGCCGATGCGATCATGCAGCTTAGAGAGGAGCGGAACAGTTTGACGTGGACATTTGCTGCAATAGTCCACTACAATTGAAGGTGACGTGTACAAATTGAAATCACATGGAGGGTGGCTGGCGCAGTTTCTGCACAGCTCAAGAAGCAAGTGCAGCAACGTGGTTTGTCTCTTGCTGCTGCAGGAGTGTCTTGAATCCATTCAACGTGAGGTGCGCTCACGACTACAGGAGTGAGCAGTTGAGCTTAAGGATTGCCAAGTGCCAAGCCAACATGGTTTGACTCAGTCTAGAGATTGATGCATAGACTCAGTTTGAATATTCAACGGTCTGCGTGATGTTATGGTGTCTCTGTCGGAGGACTCGGCGAAGCTGCGCCAGTCCCTTGAGATGGAAAGCAAAGCTCGCAAGGTAAGGATTCTGAGACTGGGCAGGGCAGAACCTGGGTCAAACAAACGGTCCTCCCCTCAACTGCCACAGACAAGTCACTGCGATGCCTACGACAGACTGGTTTGGGGCCGAAAAACAGCACTTGAAAGGCTCGTTGCCACAGATGTCAAGCTCTCCAAAAGTATTGCAGTGGCAATTGCACTCTTCGAAGCCAATTCCCAGGAGGCCTTCGGTATGATCCAGCGTGCTGTGAGCCAATGTGGAACATGAAGGCTCAAGGCCTAAACCTGGTCACTGCCATGCACCAACCAGGGCCGCTAGGGCTCAGAATTGCTCCTGATTTTCACTGTGAGTGCAAAGGACGCTCTCTTGCTTAAGTATTGAAAGTGATGTGTGCTGTGAAAGTTGTTCGCGTCAGGTTTGCTTCGGGTGGACACATGATGCGTGCAGTTTTTTGTTGTTGTCCCGTTTGAACATGCAAAGACAGAGCATGCATTTTTGGACAGGGAGGTGGTATTCTTGAACACATGGGATTTGTACTCGAGCAAAACTGGCGCGAACTGCAGAGATGCAGCACACCAGTGTTTCCTCCTTGCAGCAGTTTTTGCTCGGAACTATGCCACAGCACAATTTCAGCAGTGTTAAAACAGAGCTTGCCACAATACGGAAAGCTACAGTCGGTAACAACATACTCAAGCAAGGCTACACTCAAGAGGGTGCAGATTATTCTCCACTGAAGGCTGTCGTGAGCCAAGTGAACTGCCGATGGTTGACAAGTTTTGCTTGAACACGTGCCATAGTGACACTAAGGTGACATGTACAGCTTGAGAGGTTATGGCGGAAATCACCTCGGCATGTTTGCAGGCATGGGAACTTTGGAGGAACGATGCTTGATTCTCAACTGTTTGAGGCACCAGATCTGACTTCATTATCACACAGCATCCAGAGTTCCACTTGGGACGGCTTGCAAGCGAGCAGGGTACCAGTCTCAAAGGTACACATGCAAGACTCGGAGTCCAACTTGTGTGGCCATGAAGTCACGAACAAGAGAGGAAAGAAGATAAAGAAACCTTGTATTTCTTTGTTCATATCGTTTTTCCCGGTATAGGCGGTCTGTGGCGGGCTTGTTTTTCCAATGTTTTCCCTCTGTGTGTTTGTATTTCGTCCGAGGACTTGGACAGCAGTGGGATACCACAAGATGTGCTTGCAAAACCAGCAGGAAAGAAAAGCAGCCGAGAAAAGCACATTGCACACGTGTACCAATTTGATCCAACAGCGCTTTCCGTACACAAGCCTTTTCACATGATTAGGAGCTGGGTCATGCAGAAGATCCACGATAGCATGCTCAACAGTTCAGAGCGGCTCTGTGGGTCCTTTGCTTAAGTGTCTCAGCGTTGACAGCTGAAGCATTTTGACACCAAAGACCTCCAAAGACGCCAAATAACATTGACAGATACTGAAGGACAGTTCCAGAATCTCCAAAGAGACCGGAATGCTATGACTGTGCAGAGACGTCTTCTCTTTCTTGATGAGGCCTCGTGCTCAAGGAGTGTCGCTAAAGCAGAGAGCCGGACCCCCTTGCAAAGTTGAGTTGGACATTACTGATCCTACGATCCTACGAGTGCTTTTAGACGTTTGTAGAACGGTTCAGTAGTGCGTGGAGCTCAATGGATAGCAGAGGCCCTCGCTCGCTCAGCCTCTGCACCTGGCCGGGCGCTGCCAGAAGTAAATGTTGATGCTGAGGCCAGGACAGAAAGTCTCATAAGAAGGGGGGGGATTAGGCCGCGAAACCAAGGGGGTGGTACTAGGGCTTTCTGAAGAAGCTAAGTATTAAGAGAAGCTACTAGTAGCAAGAACGCAGCAAAGCGTCCTTGAAGACCACTTGTCATGATCGCATTAATTAAGAGTTAGAACATCACCGCCGCTGCTTCTGGTGAGTTCTGTTCTGCTAGCTTTCTTTCCTCGTTGTCTCATGCGTTCCACGTTGGCCAGACTTCGTTCGACGACCTCAGAAAGGCCATGAAGGCCGATTCCACGCTATTGGGAGTCATGAAACGGCAGTCGGAGGGAGTTCGAGGGAGTCATGAAAGAACATAAACCCAATATATATGTATATATATATACGTAGTTATTGATATTTACATAATTTTTGGGGTTGGCCACAAGTAGCTAGTAGCAAGGAGTAGTTACTAAGCTTAAGTGGCTACTACGTAGGACTCAGAAGCCCTCTCGTGATTGATTGGTTCCTAGATTCTTTGGGTACCCTGGAACTTCAGACCTTTCAACATCTTTCGGTACTCTTCTGAGAGAACGGCAGAAGTGAAGAGCTAATGAGTTGGACAAAAATGCCTCTTGGAGAATAGCCGGCACTGCATTTAGCAAAACTCAACAACTCAACATCTGAGCAAGGTGCATGCGCTGCGCTGCAAACATGGCCATGCAGCCCCTCGGACGGATGTAAAATCAGAGGCAGACATAATGTAAATTGAAGGTCAGTTCAATCTGAGAAGACTGTTTGTACTGCTACGCCGCCAACACAATGACCTTTGTACAAGCTGAACAACTAAGATAATAGGGAGACATCGTAGTCAAAGACTTTTCTTCGGTTTTGAAGCTGCATGTCCCATGGCAAGGTCACAATGCCACATACTTCATTCCATCAGCGTCCCCTTCGGCACCCACAAGGCTTTGTATTTCATTGACAACGGGCTAGGATTCCAAAGCACCATGTCCTCCCGGGATATGTATCCATGTCCATTTGTTCATGTCTCAAGTGAACGATTGCGTCGAGCTTTCGGAACACATCGAGTGTCATTGAGAGCTTTGAGCGACTGGAATGGTTGGAACAACTCACATTGCAGGGCTTGGGCGCTACAACTACACGGTGCCTTCGCAAGCTCTGCCTTTCATTGAACACTTTAACCCACCGATGCAGGAGGTGCCTTTGCTGCCCAAAGCGGTACGACTAGGCAAAAACTCTGCGTGTGCCCCTTGACGGGCTCAAACTAGAGAGTTTTCATGCCCAAGGCATTCGAGGGCTCAAAGGATTCGGAGCAAATGATGTTACCAGTCGCAGCAATCAACAAACATGTGTTTTTCTTTTGTTTGCAGCTTGATATGCAAACTCCGAATTTAGGTATAGGACTTTTCCCATTGTCCACTTTTGTGGACATGTTCGCACGTGCCAAAGTGGTCGAAGTCGAAAAGTCGCTGGTTCTCAGGTGCTGAGCGACTAGAATCTAGAAGGTCGTTGATAGACGGTAGACACGGTAGATAATTCACTCACGAGGGCAGAAGAATCTCTTCAGAGGTATGACTCCAGGTAGAGCAAAGTATGACTTCAACAAAGTATGACTCTTCATATGTTGGCCTAATGTGTGCCGTCTGCACGCTACAAGCAGATGGTAATTTTGTCGTGGAGAGCGAGAGGTTGTGGACTCTATCAGCCCTGGTAGGCTCAGTCAGGGAAATGACCGATGATTAAACATGGCCGGGTGAGATAGACAGCGCCACAGTAGGTCAGTAGGTTTGACCTTTGCCAGCAACATCTCTCAAGCTTCCAAGCTGCAGATCACAACATGCCTTGGGAAGACGGAGTCCAATGAGAAACGACGAACAGCAGACTCTGCTTGACAACGACGCAAAGTCGCGCTGTCGTGATGGCAGCTGTCGCGATGCGGCCGTTGGCCAGGCACGCTCGGTTTTACCCGAAAAACGGAGGCATAAAAAGGGGGAGCGCCAATGTGGGAGCGTGGCGCTTAAGAAAACCAGCTTAGAATTGGAGATGTATGCAGACTGAGGCCAGCCAGTGGACCATTGTTGCGACCCTAGAGCTTGAATGACAGTGTCAAGCTGCCAGGTTTTGAGCTAATGAGGACCAGATGTGAATTCATTCTCTTGAAGGTATGTCAGCGAGCGACGAGGAAAACCGCTCGAGGCATTGCTGGTTGAAGATGCCTTGGTGTGGAGAAGCCTGATTGAGGATACAGTTGCAAACCATTTCCGCTGATCAGCAGGTGCCCCCGCCAGCTCATACATCGTCCTTGAGTCCAGCCGCACCACAGGCAAGTCAATCTGATTGCAACTACCGTGCTTTGTTTTGCTTCTTTGTTCTATATGAGTATTTGCAGACGTTATAGCTGGGGAGAACACTGAAAGGCAAATGCAAGTGTCCTCAGACGACGGCGATCGAGCCGTCCACGCGCTTTTCTCACTCCATGGCTTTGGCAGCTGAGAATCTAGCTCAAGGGTCCTTGTGCCCAATGCAACGGCGAGGATTCCTTAGTGAACCTTTGTGTGACATGGATAGGTTTCTTCAGGAGCCCCTAGTAGCGTCCTTGCTCCTAGTAGCGATGCCCTTGTTACTAGTAGCTTCTTGTTACTAGTAGTATGGCCAGGAGCCCCTAGTAGCGGAGGTTTGTGTAAAGTTTGGTTTGTGGGGTTTGTCTTGACAGGTTTCTTTCCACTCGTCTCGTCTTGAAACCTGGTTTTTGAAAGACGTCAGGTGCCTGCTGAAGAGGCTCCGGACTGATTGATGCCCGCAGTGTTAGCCTCACGAATGGTTCCCGCAAATCTCTTTGCATGGAGGACTTGATCTTTTTGGAAACTTGTCCTCTGGTGGAAGACGTAAGAAGTCATTCAATGTTTGGGCAACCAAAAACCACCAGATTGGAATGCAACGGTTGCATTACTTTCTGCAGCTATGAGGGTTCAAATGTCATTGCTGCGAGGGATCGTTTCCGCGGTTTTCGCGTAAAGAACCCGCGATGGGCTTTCCGCCCTGGTATCTTGGAGCAAGAGCTGCCGCAAACTTTCTAACTTGTTGGAACAAGTGGTTAAAACACTTGCAATAGCAAATAGATCCAAATACTTTTTTAGGAGATAGGACATATGTGATATAAGTTTGGTGTTTCGAGGATCAGATTTCGAAAAGGCGAGTGGATCAAATTTTGTCGAATGGGGTGGACCGAAGGAAATTCCAAAGAGCTGAAGGGTCGGGCGTGGGTGCTCCAACCTCCAACTTTCAAGGCCGTCATCGGCTTCTACGAATTCGCTAGCCAGCCGAGCGCAGGCCTATCGATTCGGGGAAAACTATAAACTAAGAAGGAGTGAGTCACATATTGTAAATACAAGGACATCTTGTTGGGGGGGCAAAACGCCAATGAGTGGCCTTTTAGCCTTTGAAACGATTTTGTGACTGTTTCTCATGACAGAAAGGACGGTGTGGGTTTGGCGAATGATCACGGCCGGACGGACGGCAATGGCTTCGGTTCAGGTCACCCAGGCCAGCGTGGACAGCGACGCGCCGGCCGTGACTGCGTTGGGCCCCTCAGAATTCGGACTTGCGACTGTTTCGAGGGACTTATGACTTTTGTGAATCGCACCATGTTTGAAGCTTTCTTTCGAATTAACCGTATACTGTAACAAGATGTTGGATGAGGATCATTTTTGCAGGCATTACTAGAAACTGTAGTGGTAGCTCTGTGCCCAAACCCTCAGACATGAACATGATGAGCCTGAGACAAGCAAGACCCGTGAAGTCAGCATTGCGCAAGGATTCGAATGGTGTAGAGTTGACAGTTTTGTTGCTTTCGGGGAGTCAAGTGTTGGGTTCGTGTCTCCAAGATGAAGAGTCAAAAGGGTGTGGCAGCCAAAGGGTGATCACCTCAATGTGTTCATTTGCAAAGAAACACATCATTTGTTGCTTCAGGAATGGCTTCCGCGTTTTGGCCGAGAACAGTTCTATCGAAGTGGAGGCACTGCCGAGGTTAAGTGAATGTCGTTTCTATTCGAGACTTGGCCCTGGCTTCTGCTTCGGAAAGCTGCTCGACCCTCTTCCACACTTGCCAACTGAGCTGCTCGCGATGCCCTTTCTTCGCAGGAGCAAAATGTTGCTCCCTTCTCAGTGCCGCAGGCTGGGGCTTTTAACAATTTTTGTATTTGACAACACAAACTGTGAACGGTCCAAAAACCCAGCAACAAGAAGGTGGAACTATCACGAAAGCCAGCCGATAGGCTAGGCTGCAGTGTTGGGGAGCGAACGAAGTGAGTAAAGGGGGTTGCCAGATGGGCGGAGAGGCTGACCCAGAGCCTGGTGGGGGAGAGCGAGAAAAAGAGGTGGCCGGGAGGTAGTGAAAATGAGTGGTTCTTAAAGGTGATGTGATGCAAGTGATGTAGACGGTGAGTAGTGCATCATTAGCATCATGAGGGGCTCAGAAGGCAATGTAAGCCGTCTTGTACCAGGGGTGGAAGTTCATGTCGATGAGAGGGAAGGCATGGCTCGAGGTCAAAAGTGGGCTGGCTGGTGGTGCCAACTCACTTGAAACACAGACCAACACACCATACCAAGCCTTCGCCAGACTACAGGGGTGCCCTTTTTCACCTTCAACATCAGAAACATATGTATTCCACTTTCTGTTTCCACTCTTTCTCAAATTAAATGCCGGCAATATCAACTTCATCACTTCCGGCTACTCTTTGTCCACTCTACCTATATATACACGTATGTATCCTCACGAGGCCTGCCGATACCCTCGCCCATAGGCCCCCCCACAACCATCTTTGCTCGTTGATTAGCGACACGCACCAAGCAAACGACATAATATACCTCAGGGGAGCCCTTTTTCACCTCCAAAACGCTTCTGAGCCAAGACGAAAAAGGGCACCGCCCCAAACCTACGTATTCTACTTTCTGTTTCTACACCCTATCAGGGTGACTGCGATGTCAACTTCACCCCATACAAGTACTCTTTGCCATCAACTTCACCACTTCCAGCTACATCTTTGTTCACTGATTCGCAACACACAGCAGGCAAGCGACCTTCATTTCTTTAAGGATCCCCTTTTTCACCTCCAAAACGCCCCTAAGCCGGGCCGAAAACCCCCCCAAACCAATGTACATATTCTACTTTCTGTTTTGGTCCTATCGGGGTGGCCGCGATATCAACTTCACCGCATGAAAGTACTCTTTCCCCGATATCACCGAATCACTTCATCTTCCACATCAAGTCGTTGAGTCCATCTACAAGACCTCAATAACAAACAGCGAGCAAACGCCAGGCTTGCCCTAAGAGCACCCACCCCCCTTAACCCAGAGGTTGGCTTTCGTCCCCTCCCTTCTCAGGTATTTATACTGCAATGCATTCTTCCCGAGAACGAAAGCTACTCATTTCACTTCTTTGCGACTGTGTCTATCCCTCTACCTGGCTGCAGGAAGTGTTATCTTTCCAGCCAGATGACCAAGCAGTCTTCGCTCGATTTATGAATGGCGACTGTGAGAGGACGTGGCTTTGAATTTCTTGACAGCGTGGACATGATTGAGTTTGGCCGTTGTATTCACACTGTATTTGTCCTTACTTTTGCATGTGATTGCATCGTTGTGGCACTCTTTCTCAGCTCTCATGGGCTTGGAACTTCCAGGAAACTACATTGCAACATCGAGCTCACGGCAGACGAGTTGGAGGCCACTTCCGGCCTTGCTTTGCCTTCGAAGGTTGTCGCATGGGCCATCCGGTTGTTTGTCACTGCCTACTGCCGCCATTCGAGAGAAATTGCTGACAGGCTCTTCGCCTGCTGCAGGTGCACTGTTTCATCTAAACAAAAGCAGAGCACCAGAATGTTTTGAAAGCAAGAGACTAGAAAGACGAACTCAAGAAAAACTTACGGCCGTATGCAACTAATAAAGCGTTCGCAGGAGGAGGCCAGAGTGCAACGCGTGGCCTTGCCTGTCTCCATCTCTGTCTGATACCCAGGGCTCATCCTTGTATTTCTTGAAGAGAGGCCAAAGGCCATCGCTGGTAGGTTGGAGGTCATCGCTAATAGGTTGGAGGCCATCGCTGGTAGGTTGGAGGTCATCGCTAGTAGGTTGGAGGCCATCGCTAGTAGGTTGGAGGCCATCGCTAGTAGCCACTCATGTCTTGCTGTTGCTGAGTTCCAAAGAAGCCACTGACGGCAACAGAACTTTTTGCGCTCAGGCTTCTGCTACCAGGTACTTGAGTGGGGATCCGAAGCTCCTTCCATCAGTTTCCATCATGTTGGACTTGTGTTCTGATTCATCCAGTTGAGCTGTTGAGCAAGCTTTCATTGCTATGCTCCTTCCAGGTTCATTTCTTTGGAGCCTGCCCCTGCCTGCCGACTGCCTGCTGCCCCTGATTTGCTGAGGCCACTCCCATGGCGACCCTAAGAAGGCTTTGAAGATGATGGAGGCTTTGTGCTTCATGCGCACTCCACTCGCAGTTTGATGTATGAAGATGGGTGACAAGATAGCTGCACCTTTTCCCAATACAAGTAGCACCCAGCTTTGTTCTTTAGAAGAAGCTATGAGCTCAGATATCTAAGCCAAGCATTGGCCAGCAGCATCAGTATTCTGTGATTGAAGCGGCCAGCTTGCCACTGGCACGTTGGTGGAACTGTGTTGTTTGAGAGTACAAGTCACCATCAGGCAACCACAGAGTGGCGGAGCTCCTACTTCACCAGGCCCTTTTTTTCTGATGTTTCCATCTTGTGCCGATGAGGTATACTGTAGCTAGATCGCTAGACAGGTTCAAAATGTTTAGAGTCTGGACTCAAATTCTTTGCGTATTCGCTTTTGTCTTGTCCCAGGCCTCTTTCCGACGTGAACATGGCTGAGGCCCGGCCTAGTTGCAATAGCAGGTGAGGGTTTTTAGACTTACAAGAACTTGTGAAGATCGTCGGGCAAGAAACTACGCTTCAAGCACTCCCCATAAAGTAGCCTCGAGGCCGATTTGTGCCAGGGTAGCCGTGAGCTTTGTTTGTTGGAGCTTCAGATGTCATATGGGAGGTCCCAAGAACTGTGAAGGCAAGCTCCTGTCATTTTGAGCCTTGAGCATGAACATTGTGTTTGCTTTCGTTTAAACATATCTAATTAACAAAGAAGAACACGTCTACGGAAAGAATCAACAAGAACATACGAAGGATATTTGTTAAGTTAAGTTTCCTAAAAACCAAGTAGGAACCACATGAATAGAATTCTGAGCTTTCCTGCGTCCGGTAGCTAGTAGCTACCCTTTTGCCAACATGACATCGAGAATGCTGCTGAAGTGCAAACTATTCAGAAAGGGAAAACACATGAAAACAAGATAAACAACAAGGTGCTTGGGCCTCCTTTAAAGGGGCCTTACTGAAGGGCTGAAGGGGCCCAAGTTCACCTGAGTCCTCCCTCTCATTTTCCTTTTCATCAACTCTGTGTCCTGGACTTCGTGCGCAGGATTTGAAGCTTGGACTCGTCTATTTTGCAGGTCGCGACAAGGACTCCGCAGACCACTAGGAATTACACGCGCACAAAGCCACGCCTTGCATTTTGAAGACAGTTATGAGTTTTGAGAAATCAACCACTAAAGTTGCGCAGCCTGCCAGTTGCTAGTTGCGCGAACTTTCAGAAAATTGTTTGGTCGTGTCGAGGCTCTTCGACCTGTGTTGGTTTTTCGGGCATCCCGAATTCCCGCCGCCTGGCCAGATGCCCAGTTGCACGGGGGACCACAGCCGACTCTTGAGCTACAGATCCGGAGTATCAAGAGCTGTGGAGGACACGGGAGAGGGCACACACACACGATGTCGCACCCTGTCTGTGAAGCCAGTGCATGTGATTCCCGAGGCACAGAGAGCGAAGGTACGACCTGGTCATAAGAGTTGGACACTGAATTTACACTTCTCGTCTCGTTGTGCAGCATTTCTTTTTCATATCAAAACGGCGGCAGTCTGGATATGCCTCCAACGTGCGAGGTTCTTGTCTTTTCGATGGAGCACCGAACTTGGCCAAATGTTTCTGTTTGAGAAACTGCAACTTTGACGTGCATCCGAGATGATCAACATGTTGCCTCATGTTCATCGCCTTGACTGGTGCAAGGTATTTCATGCGTTACATGGCAGCCATCGCCTCAAATTAGCCAACGTGTTGTCCACATGGATCTCCTTGCAAGCTTTTGATGATGTTTCGCTACAAAAGGGCCACCAAGTGCTTGCTTCAGGTCCCTGGGAAAATAGAAAGTATCAACGTGGTCATCGATCTGAAGGACCCGTTTTCATCACCTTTTGCCTTGTCCTATTGCATGCCCTAAGCAGGTGTCAGGGTAGATGATGGTAGATGCCGCTTTTTGACACTGGAGCATGCAGGACTTGACCATTTCTCAAATTCCCATCGGAGTGCTTCGAGAAGTTCATAGGAGACCTTAAGAGCTTGGTGAACGGAGCTGGAAAAGTTTGGTGGAGAAAGCCCTAGCGAAGATGGCAAAGCGACACGAAGCGCACACTTCACTGTAGACATAATCCCGAGAAACTTTTACTGGAAGTTATAGCAGTCAGAACAAACCCAGAGGGAATTGAAGGTGCCCGACAGTTTCTGTCCTGACACCTGTCGTATATACTGGTTACCTCGCTTGCTCTTGAGAGGGAAAGAGCGAGAGAGAGGGAGAGAGAGAGAGAGAGAGTGCACGCTTTGGAGGAGCATGGGTATGTACTATGTCGGTGCGGCCGCCAAGTTTATCGCAGTTTTGGGCTCGTCAGCAGCTCTCGAGTCGGACAGGGCGGATCTTCCGCTTCTACATTTGCAACATGCTTGGGACTTGGCTTGAGAGCACTTTTGCCACGAAGAACTGCAGAATGCACAGTGATTATAGTTTAATTCTAATATACGATATTCAAAATTACGAAGAGTTTTTTCAATGCAAAGAATGAACCAGCTGAAATCCAAATGCCACAGGCCTCGGATACTTGGAACCTTGGTCCCGCTGGCCAAGAAGGCTGGCCACTTCGGAGGGTCAACAGACAATAATCTCCATATACTGCAGCAGTTCTTGTGACACATTCTCTCCCCTAATGGCAATGGCCTCTTTCCCCTCATATCGATGGCCTCCAACCTAATAGCATCCCAGCCCATGTGTCGGAAGGTCCTGACAGAACGCCAGCGGCAGAAGTTGGTCTTTGTTTGCAAGTCGGGGGCGCTGAGTCCGTTGGACACCGTTGTTCAAACTCACGGACGCCGATGGAATCGAAGTAGGTGGACGGCCGTGGGGAAGGCCCTTTCCGGCAGTGGGAAGGCCTCACTGGCCCGAAGTAGAGCCATGATGGTTTTGTGCCATGGGCCATGCATATACAACTTGTTTTCAGAACGGGGGAAGCATCGGCATCCAGAACAGGTGGCTTGACAGAAAGAACACAAAAAACTGGCAGCTCTGAGGCCTGAAGACATCACTAGAGATATCGCGTCGGGGTGAGCTGCTCAGGTCGAAGGATTGAAGTAGCAATGGACAATGGACGAGAGAAGAAAAATAAAGAGACAAGGAGCTAGATGGGAAATACATGTACACATTGACAACAACTACGATTCCAACGTGTGCCAGACCGAAATCGGACTGCTGATACTGTGCGACTTGATGCATCGCTCAACAGCGCTATAGTGGCACTTTGCACCAGAACCTAGGCAGTTGGAGGAGGACCTTGGCGGTGAACGCCAACAAATCAAGGACTTGGTGAGGGGACCCCGAAGAGAACACTGGTCAATCAGCCAATGGAAGCAACAAACCATTTGGGCTTTGTGTCTCATATTCTTCTCTTTAGCCCGCGCTTCGTGACAGCTTTGGGTTCTGAGGAGTTTTTTCCTTATCCCTTGCTGCCGGGACCGTTTGAACCAAGTGAGCCTCCAGTACGGCAGGGCCCTGAGATATGTGACGAGTCCAAGAGGAGAGCCCTTTGGAGGTTTTAGGGTCAGACCTCAAACCTACTTGGCATCTGCACTTGTTCTGTTTTGTTCAAGTTTCACTGCTCCAAGGTCTCGCAAAGACCCTGTGCCAGGCTGATTTCAGGGTTGTCCTGTCTCCACGTGTGCATGAAAAAGGGTTTGATCCGTTGATACGGAGGATGCCCTTTTGATACTTTTTGCTGCAGTGGCAGCACCTGTAGATTGTAGCGACAGGATCCCAAGACGACTTCTGCGGCCTTCTTTCCTTCGTCCTTTGTGATCCTTTGTGCATCATGGTGCTCTGATTTCTTCCTTTTAGGAGTGCACAAGTTGCTGACTCCGGACGGCTTTACTGGCCGTCTTTGGAATCGCCGGGCCAAGCCGGAGGAGAATCGCAGGCAAGAAGCACGAGTATCACTACCCGATATGGGTGTGAGACGCACGAAATGTAGATAACCATCCACTTTGGGTCCTTTTGGGCTACTTGGCAATGGGGTTCTCACTACGCACGAAGGCATTCAACTCAATTGGCTCAGACTTGGTTTCCTCTTTAAACATTTAGTAACAAGGTGCATCGGTACTAGAAGCAAGAAGCTACTAGGTGCTGCTGGGATTTGCTCGCAGGCTTAATTATTCGGAGTGCGCTGCGGACATTTTTCGCAAGTGTGGTCTTCCTGCAAAGGCCTCAAATTCTGCCGTGAGTGGTTCGTTTTCGGGGTCCAACAGAAGAAAAGAGGAAGGTAAGAGTCCCTTTCATAAGTAGTAATGCCCTTGTTACTAGTAGCGATGCACTTGATACTAGTAGCTTCTTGCTACTAGTAGTAAGGCACCTTGCTACTAGTTCCTTCATAAGGCCTCATTAAAGGGGCCCTTATCTTCCTGCTGCATCCATTCGCCTTGTGGTGTGATCAAGACGCTGCGAGCATGTGCGAGCCAAGGTACCGGCGGAAGTGCTTGCAAGAACGAGACCGCCGGAGCCGGAAAGTCAAACAGGCTTACTGGACTTTGCTGATCGTCAAGGGTTTTGCACTACGGCTTGTGTTGTTGCCAAGGGCTCATGGCTTTGGCTCATGGCATCCCTTTGCCAGGCTCCAATGAGAAGGCCAACGAGCCAGACTCAAACGTGGGCGAGGCAGATAGCAGCTTTGTGATAGGCTGCAGAGAACATCTTGAACCTATGCCACTTTCCGGCTCAATCAGCGCCATAACTATGTGTAGAGTTGAGAAACTAGGATGACAAACCTGAGCTCTATGCCGAGGATCCTCAGCCAGAAGCCATTGTGTCAGACGAAAGCACCAAGGAGCGCTGAAACAAAAGAGGAAAGAAAGCAGGCAAGGGCTCCTTTAATAAGGTTTAAAGAACCTTATTGAAGGGGCCCTAATAACTGGCGCTGACTCTTACCTTCTATTTTTCTTTATCACTTCCTTTTTTTATCATTCCAAAATCGGATTCGTGCCTTCGTTAAAGGTTGTTGTTGTTGTTGTTGTTGTGGTGATGAAGGCGTACGGTCAGTCCTGGCATGTGTATCAAAAAGAAATTAATTACTGAATCAAAAAAAGTTATTTACGTAATCAAAAACAAATTAATTAACTAATCAAAAAATAACTATTTTCCTTTCCCGTCTCTTGTATGCTTGCTCCTGGTCCACATGGTCGTCCTGGTCCCCTTGGTCCCCTGGTCCCCTTGGTCCCCTGGTCCCCTTG